ATGATGGCTCAAGGAGTCCTCCAGGCCTGTTGGGTATACAGCTCAAATCATTACTACGATTAAGAACAAGCACTGTGCTAACAAGCCTGACAACATGGATGGACACAACACGGCAGAGGCAGCAGTGGGCTCATGAGGGTGGCGCAGGGCCGGCCACTGCTCTGCTGTGTTTCACACAGAACCAACACTACAGCACCTAACAATATTTTAATACCCACAAAGAAGTCACCTCGAGGGGAGCTCGTTAGAAAGCTATGAAATAAAACGTCCTTCACTACCAAAAAAACTCCTCCAATCTTATTTCACTTGCTTCTCCTCCAAAACCAATTGATCATCGCAAATTCAGACTTCAGGGAATCCAAATAAGGGCGCTTTCTCCTCCCCTCAGGTCACTTCAGGTTTGAGCCAACAGACCCGGCATGACTGACCGCAGCGTCAACACAGATCACATCAAAGTGCTGCATCGTACTGAAAAGCTGAGTGAAGCCCACCTGTACCGGGTTCACAGGCTCCCAGCTAAGTCGCACAGAGCCAAGGTGAGGGCCTAGGTCTCAAGTGGGCAGCGCGCATGCTGGACTTGTGCTGGTTAGCTGAGGAGGACAGGGTCACCTGGCGAATGGCAGCAGCGAAGGATGTGTGGGGGCGCTCCTTGTTCATGTACAGGCCCTCCATTCTACGGTCACCTTTGTGCCCAGAGGTCACGTCTCAAAACCTGCACTCTCCGGAATACCTCTGACGATCCAGGTGAACGAACAAGGAACTCAGCCAGGGGAGGACTGCTCTCGTGCCAAACCTCGATGGAGGGACGCATGGCCGTTGCTGCCAGCCAGGGTTATGTCTTTAAGGAGAGACGCTAATAACCAACTGAATGTGAAATACTGCTGGGGCCAAGGGTTGCCTGGTCAAATGATTTGGGGAGAATGTTGGGGTCTTCCTGGCGGAGGAGACGTGGGCAATCTAACAGCAAAGATAAATCACCGGGTTCGTTAAGAATTCGTTTAAAAAAAAAAAAGAATGCGTGGCTGGCGCTAGGAAAATCTTCTAGGGTCCAGGATTTTGAGAATTATGTTAGAACAAGGTCAGGAGTCTGAGTGCACACATTTTAAATTACTGCAATAGCCTATACCAGAGGCCTATAAAGGGGCTGAAAGGTGCTTCGTTACCGCACTAGAAAAGCAAACTTCAGTGCTTCTAGGCCAGGAGGTGTGATTTGTACGGCTTCTTCAGGTTGTGTTAACCGCCCGAGGTTGGCTCGTCTGGTCAAGAGGTGAGAGCGAATTTCTTGGGAAATCCGTTAATGAAATAGAACCACTGGAAATGAACGTGCAAGTCCAGCCTGGCTCCAGGCTCCATGAACGCACCATAAAGTTAGGGGAAGGAGAGCGACTTCCCCAGACATTTCTCCTTCCTTCCATTTCTCTCTGCAAGACCGATACTGCCGTCCAGAAGCGCAAGCATCAAACGGCTCTGATGGCTTCTTGGCCCAGAGGCAAAGCGCCGGGTGACCGGAAACCTTCACCCTATCACGAGGACGTTAAAACATCAATAATGTTCGTAGAGCTGGCTGCCAAATCGGAGGGATATCACAAGTAGGCAGGCCTACCCCAATGACAACTCCAACTCACAATCCAGTCTGGTTTCACCTTCTGTTTCATTCCACCAGGACACAAAATGCTTCTCAACCGGGAGACCAGCGCCCTCCGACAAGCAGCTCCCAGCTGTTCCGTGGGGAGCATCAGAAACGGGCCTAGTATGTGCTCAATGGGTCAACTGGTTGTTTTGTGGCCACCAGGCTTGCCAGCTTTCCTCTCTCAGCACTAGCTCAAAGCCACATGGCCAGGTGCCATCTTTAAAGGAAACTGCTATAACTCGTCCACCCTTCCCCACGTGAGACGGGCAGACATTCAGAGACTGAGGGTTGGGGAGTGTAGGGGGAGGAGGGAGCTCAAACTGCAGCTCACTTCCCAGATGACCACACTAATTGTATATTCTGACGGAGCCCATCTACTGGGCAGTTACACATCCTCCCAGATCTTCCGAGGAATGAACTGAGACAATGCGGTTTTCACCCAGGAAAGGCTCAGCGAGGCCAAGCTGACGCGCTTCCTGTTGTCTGGAGAGCCTCTCGGCTCATGGTCTGCCTGCTGCTGCTGCTGCTGCTGCCTGGTGTTCTCCCTGCAAATGGAAGTTTAGGGCTTTGTCCCTTACCTGGCCCTGAACCACTCCTGATGCTGAATTGGGGCCTGTATGAACATAAGTGGGTAAGTAGTGGGCTGCTGACTACAAGCTCAGAAGTTCATCACCGGCCACTATCTACTCCTACAGTTAGTTTCTGAAACTCAGGGGGCAGGTCTACACTGGCTGGCAGCACAGGGGCTGAACCCTTGGGTCCCAGACAAAGGTCAGCAGTTCGAACCCACCACCTGCTCCAACAGGGAAAGGTGTTAACAGCCTGCTTCCCTACAAACAGCTTTGGGAATGCTGCAGGGCAGTCCTCTGTCCTCTAGGAGCATCACGCGGATTGGAGTTGATCCCAATGGCAGGGGCCTCATGGCAGCACAGTGATGGGGGTCAGCTGCCATGGCGGCGCGAGGAGCCACTCATTGGGGGATGACGGCCCAGGAGAACCTAGAGGGTGGTGTCACTGTCCCCCAGGACTGACAGGAGGCAGAGACTTGGTGGCAAGGGGTTTGGTATACATAATGGGACAAGTGTGGGGTGCAGATGACATGTTAATGGTATGTGCAAGGGTCTTATTTTAAAAAGGAGATGAAAGTGGCAAAATAGCACCTGCGAGTCTAGATTTGTGAAAGCTCATCAATGAAAAGTAAACAAAAATCCCTGTGGCGAGTTGACGGTTGTGGGTTCGGCCAATTTGATGAAATTAGCTGACTCAGAGACACGACGTGGAATGAGGGCTCAAATTCAGCAGGGAGAGTAGACACCATTCTGCAGTGCACTTTGCATCTGCCGTCTCGTGGCTTGTTCCTGGGAGATCATTCTGAGGCTCAGAAATGGAGCCAACTAGCTAGTGGCACAGTGGGTTAAGCAGTAAAGCCAGGGTCCAAGATTCACACTAAATCAGCCAGACCTTCCCCAGGGTGACATGATCCCAGACTCCTTGTTCTTTTAAATGAGCTCCCTGTCCTCCAACCTGGTTTCCTAGTGTCCCGGCTCTCACCCTTCCTGCACTAACCCGGGATGTGAACTTACTACACTGAAGGGAAATCACCTGACTTACCTGCAATGAGGAGCACGCTAGCAGCTCATGGACGCACAGGACAAAGCCTGGTCACACTAAGGCACTAGCGTTTGCCATACTGCTTTATTGCTTTGCACGCTTGTCTCCTATAAGCCACCCGCCTCTTGCCCTTCTGGAAGCCCAGAGTTAGGGACTGAACTGTGTCCCCAAAGTGTGTGTCGCCATGGCTGTGCAAGGTGAGCTACTGGTTTCTCCTGGTGCAGAGCAGTGAGGAAACCCGGAATGAACTCACCGCCACCACGAGATCAGCATAGCATCTAGAAATCAACGATGACCAGTTAAGGGG